TGTGCACATGCACAGCCTGAAGAAGCTTTACCTGCACGACTATAGTGAACTGAGGCAGCTGCCCCCCCAGCTGGCCATGCTGACGCTCCTGGAAGAGCTTGAAATCACCTCCTGCCCTCGCCTCAAGTCCTTAGAGCCATTGTGTGCTGCTCCCTTGCCTCTACTCTCCATCGATCCTGCCCCTTCTCCTGACCCTTCTCCTGCTTCGGCAACTGTCGCTCCTATAGCCACTACTGCTGACCACCCCACCACTGCTTGCACTCATACCGATAAGTCCAACGAGCCACAGTCACAACCACAGCCACAGCCGCAAGCATAGCCAGCAGCAGCACAGCACAGCAAGGAGCAGCGCACTTTACAGCAGCCCTGGGGCCTGGCGTCCCTCACCAGCCTATCACTGTCTAGTTGCTTGCAAGTTGCCTCTCTCCCTAATTCCCTCTCCACGCTCTCTGCCCTCACTTCCCTCACCCTCACCTCTATGCACGGTCTCTCCAACCTGCCAGAATTGCTCGAGCAACTGGAAAACCTCAGGTTCCTTAAGCTGGACTTTCCGAAGAAGTTATCTGTGCTGCCCGAGTCACTCGGACAACTGAAAATCCTTGAAACGCTGGAGCTGTGCTATTTGCCGGAGCTGAACTCTCTGCCCGGATCACTCCGTTGGCTGCCCAAGCTGAAAGAGCCGTTGCTGACCAACGTGGGGAGGGTGACAGAGTGGTGATGGATTGATTACCTCCCATCTGTTAGGTCCGCCAGAATGCGCCTCATGCTTCACTGAACTCAAGGCTCTCACACAGACCCTGTCTTTCTGTCATACAATATGCATGTGTTAGGTTCTAGGCTAAAGCGAGGCACACTGTATAGGGTACAGTCCGATTAGGGTTTCCTACTTGTGCCACTCTCTCTCGCTAGTGATCACCATTCCGCTGTTCACACTCTTTACACTTTCGTGGTACCGTAATCCCCTGCATATAGGACCCGGGGGCTGGGGGACTTTCTTGAAATTCATTAATAAATGCTAGGGTGGACATTATGACGGCATGGGATTTTTAAGACCCCCGGACATCTATTTATCCCATATCGAAGCCGTTTTCAATACCGGTAGTGTACACATGCATCTATGGGGGTTCTTATATTTCGCACATGACAAAAAGCGAATTTCCGCTGTAGTAGAGTGTGATTTTGCGATCTGACTCGCTGGATGTGTCAGATGTGTTTGAATTCGACTCTGACGTGCTGGATCTGTCATAATTTGAAAAAAAAAAACAAAAACAAAAAATCCATGTATAATCCAACACGCGAACGCGGAAAAACGTACTGAAGCAGTGCGATATAACAAAAATGGGGGTCTTATAAATATTACGTTCAAAAGGGGGGTCCTCTCACTTTTAACTCGATACAAAAGACCATATTCCGCATAAGAGTCTCATGGGACTTTCTTACTGGCGGCGGGTCTTATGTGCGGGGGATTACGGTACTTGCAGTCAAACTTATATGCTGCATTGTGTAGTCTGTAGTGGGGTAGCCCATATGGGGTACAACACAACTCAGGGTTAGTACTTGTACTCATCCTGCTGCTAGCTCATTTCATTCTCGTTTGTAACTTTGACATGGAATCAGAGCAGGTTCCTTGGGCCCACCACCTGCTGCCTTACACTTCAACTTAGGCCTTGGCCTGTTGCCCCTAGGCCAGTCACTCGCGCCCCTAGGCCCGTCGCCCCTAGGCCCGGCGCTCGCGGCCCGTCGTTCTAGGCCCCTAGGCCCGTCGCCTACGGCCCAGCGACCCGCGACCCACGGCCCCGCGACTCACGGCCCCGCGACCCACGGCCCCGCGACCCACGGCCCTGCGACCCACGGCCCCTAGGCCCAGCGACCCACGGCCCCGCGGCCCGACACCCCTAGGCCCCAAGGCCTCTAGCCTTGTGTTTGGTCCCTCGGCCCCGTGTTTGGCCCCTCGGCCCCGCCCCTCGGCCACTTGGCCCCTAGGCCCCTTGGCCCCTCAGCCCCTAGTCCCCTCGGCCCCTCGGCCCCTAGGACCCTTGGCCCCTCGGCCCCTCCCCCGCCACCCTCATGTTTGGCCCCTCGGCCCCTAGGCCCCTCCACTTCATGTTTGGCCCCTTGGCCCATAGGCCCCTCGGCCCCTAGGCCCCACGCCCCTCGACCCCTAGTGTTTGGCCCCTCGGCCCCTCGGCCCTTTGGCCCCTCGGCCCCTAGGCCCCTCGGCCCCGCCCCTCGGCCCCTAGGCCCCTTGGCCCCTCGGCCTCATGTTTGGCCCCTCGGCCCCGTGTTTGGCCCCTCGGCCCCACCCCTCGGCCCCTCGGCCCCTAGGCCCCTTGGCCCCTCGGCCCCGCCACCCTCGTGTTTGTCCCCTCGGCCCCTAGGCCCCTCGGCCCCGCCCCTTGGCCCTTTGGCAACTGCTGCTGCAACTGCTGCTACTGCTACTGCTACTACTGCTCCTGTTGCTACTGCTGCTATTGCTGCTCCTGAGTGCTGCGCCATTATGGCTTCGTTTAGAGTTCTAGCGTTCGATCATGAGGGCAGACCGGTTGCATTTGACACGTGGCACGACGATCTGCAACTGTACCTACTGAGCGATATTAAGGACAGTGTCTCACTGTTTGACCATGTGTCCAGTGTTGCTCCTGCCCCTCCCGCCACAGCTCACAGGGCGACTCGTTCCCAGTGGCTGTCTCATGATGCTACTGCCCGCTTAGCCATTCGCAACCACCTGCCGGTGGCCGAATGTACTCACTTTGGACAGCACAGGACAGCGCAGGCCCTGTACGACGCTGTCGTTGCTCGCTAATCCTCCCCTGCCACTACTGCTCTTGGCAGACTAATACTGCCCTACCTGTTCCCTGAGCTGTCAGCATTTGTCACAGTAGCGGACCTGGTTACCCACCTGCGCACTAGCGACGCTCGCTACCGCGCTACCGTCCGTGCTGAGTTCCTTGCCATGAACCAGGCCCCCATGTTCATCACCCTCTACTTCATAGTCTCTCGCCTCCCTGACTCTCTTCGCTCAATCAGGGACCACTTTCTCTCCCTTGACCCCTCCTCCCTCACTGTTGACCTCCTCGAGCAGCATCTCCTCGCAGCTGAGACTAGTGCAGTTGCTGTCACTGTCTAGTTGCTTGCAAGTTGCCTCTCTCCCTAATTCCTTCTCCACGCTCTCTGCCCTCACTTCCCTCACCCTCACCTCTATGCACGGTCTCTCCAACCTGCCAGAATCGCTCGAGCAACTAGAAAACCTCAGGTTCCTTAAGCTGGACTTTCCGAAGAAGTTATCTGTGCTGCCCGAGTCACTCGGACAACTGAAAATCCTTGAAACGCTGGAGCTGTGATATTTGCCGGAGCTGAACTCTCTGCCCAGATCACTCCGTTGGCTGCCCAAGCTGAAAGAGCCGTTGCTGACCAACGTGGGGAGGGTGACAGAATGGTGATGGATTGATTACCTCCCATCTGTTAGGTCCGCCAGAATGCGCCTCATGCTTCACTGAACTCAAGGCTCTCACACAGACCCTGTCTTTCTGTCATACAATATGCATGTGTTAGGTTCTAGGCTAAAGCGAGGCACACTGTATAGGGTACAGTCCGATTAGGGTTTCCTACTTTTGCCACTCTCTCTCGCTAGTGATCACCATTCCGCTGTTCACACTCTTTACACTTTCGTGGTACCGTAATCCCCTACATATAGGACCCGGGGGCTGGGGGACTTTCTTGAACTTCATTAATAAATGCTAGGGTGGACATTATGACGGCATGGGATTTTTAAGACCCCCGGACATCTATTTATCCCATATCGAAGCCGTTTTCAATAGTGTACACATGCATCTATGGGGGGTCTTATATTTCGCACATGAAAAAAAGCGAATTTCCGCTGTAGTAGAGTGTGATTTTGCGATCTGACTCGCTGGATGTGTCAGATGTGTTTGTGTCAAACTTATATATGCTATCGTCTGTTTAGGCTGTAGTGGGGTAGTTCTTAGAGGGTACAACACTTTTGTGTTTTCTACTTGTATCCATCTGCTTTCTAGTTCCACCATTCCTCTCATGATTCTCACATGGTATAGAGCAGGTTCGAATTTTTTTTTTAGGGCCCACCACTACGAATTTTTTTTTTCCTTACCTGCCCGAAGCGCGCTTCGCGTTTGTCCTAGCTGCGCCCGTGCGCCTGCCCTTCGAGGCCCCTAGTGGCCAGTCGCGGCCCCTTCACGGCCCTTAGCGGCCCCCCTTAAGGCCCTTCGTGGCCCCTTCACGGCCCTTCGCGGCCCCTTCACGGCCCTTCGCGGCCCCTTTCGCGGCCCTTCGCGGCCCCTCGTGGCCCATCGCGACCCCTTTTACGGCCCTTCACGGCCCCTCGCGGCCCCTCGCGGCCCCCTCATGGCCCTTCGCGCCCCCCCCTCCTCCGAGGCTCTTCGCGGCCCCTTAACAGCTCTTCGCGGCCCCTTCCGGCCCCTACTGACGCGCCCCAGCTGGCGCGCCCCTACCGGCCCCTGTTGGCGCGCCCCTGCCAGCTCCTGCTGACGCGCCCTTGCCGGCCCCTTGCTGACGAGCCCCTGCCGGCCCCTGCTGGCGCGGCCCCTCTTGGCGCGCCTCTGCCGGCCCCTGCTGACGCGCCCCTACTGGCGCGCCCCTGCCGGCCCCTGCTGACGCGCCCCTACTGGCGTGCCCCTGCCAGCCCCTGCTGACGCGCCTCTGCCGGCCTCTGCTGACGCGCCCCTACTGGCGAGCCCCTGCCGGCCCCTGCTGACGAGCCCCTGCTGACTCCTACTGGCGCGGCCCCTGCAGTCAAGGCCCGCCCCTGCACCCGTCTCTGGTAAGCCGAGCCGCGCCGCCCAGCCGAGCCGCGCCGCCCAGCCGAGCCGCGCTGCCCAGCCGAGCCGCGCAGCCCACCCCCCCCCCCCACCGAGCCGCACTGCCCTGCTGCTACTGCTGCTACTGCTGCTACTACTGCTACTGCTGCTACTGCTGCTACTTTTGCTACTGCTCCTACTGCTGCTATGGCTAGTCCTACCGTTCTCACCTTTGATGCTGAGGGACGTGCAGTTGACTTTGACGTGTGGGTTGACGACCTACAGCTCTTTCTTCAGTGTGATTCTAGGGATGGGGTATCCCTTTTCGATCACACGTCCGGTGTTTCCACTGCTCCTGCTGCCACTGCTGACAGTACTGTTCGCTCGCAGTGGACCACTCGTGACGCTGTTGCTCGTGTTGCTGTTCGTAGTCACCTGCCGCCTGCTGAGCGCGCGCACTTTGGCCAGTACAAGACTGCTCAGTCTTTGTACGACGCTGTAGTTGCACGCAACTCCTCCCCTGCCACTGCTGCCCTCAGCCGCCTCATGCTACCGTACCTTTTCCCTGACCTTGCTGCCTTTGCCACAGTCGCTGACCTAGTTGCTCACCTGCGCACTAGTGACGCCCGCTACCGCGCTGCCCTTCCCACTGAGTTCTGTGCCAAACCCCCCCCCCCCCATGTACATCACCCTTTACTACCTAGTCACCCGCCTCCCTGACTCTCTCTCTTCAGTCAGGGACCACTTTCTCTCCCTTTGCCCCACCGAGCTGACTGTCGACCTGCTAGAGGAGCGCCTTGCTGCAGCTGAGAAGAGTATTTTAGCTGTAGGTGCTTCTCGCGGCGACCGTCGCACCCCCTTCTTTGAGGGGTGTTCCCCTGTCCCCCTTCTCCCCTCTGTTGCTTCTGCTACTGCTGTCGACCTCGTTGGCACTCAGGAGGTCGGCGCTGCGTCTGCCTCTAGTGGGAGACGCCGCACCAGCAAGGGCAAGGGGAGCAAGGGTGGTGGAAGGGGCGGCGGGGGCAGCAGTGGAGGAGGTGGAGGCGGCGGAGGAGGTGGAGGTGGTGGTGGGGGTGGTACCGGGAGTGGGGGCATCAGTGGCGGCGGTGGAGGTCGTGGCGGCGGTGGCGGAGGTGGTGGAGGCCGCGGCAGCGGTGGTGGAGGTGGCGGCGGCGGTGGTGCTGGTCGAGGAGCAGCCGAGCAGCGTGGAGGCTTTGGTGGCAGCCAGCGCCAGCAGCAGCTGCACACCCGTGAGACCCCGTCGGTTCAGCAGCTTCGTGAGTGGTACGCTGGGCGTGGGAGGTCTGGGGTGCAGGTCCCTGCACTTACGTTCTTCGCACCGGCCCTCGTACGGGGGAGGTGTGTGGGCTCCCACACACCACGCAGCGCTGCTTCGGTCGCTTGACTGACGCTTGGCGTACCCAGTTTCCTGACGCCATTGAGCTCCCTCGCTGGCATGATCTGCTTCTGCAGAATGTGCCTATCTTTGATCTAGATTTTGATGCTATCCTTGCTGCCATGTATGTTCTTGCTGATAGTGCTGAGGGTGACTGTTACTTGAGTGTCCCGCCCGACCCAGGCATTTCGGCTGCTGCTCTAGGTGCTAGTGCATTTGCTGCTCCAGGTGCTGGTGCGTCTGCTGCTCCAGGTGCTGGTGCGTCTGCTCTCTCTGGTACTGCACCTACTGAGTCCTTGCACACTTTCACACTTGACTCTGGTGCTTCGTGCTCTTTCTCTAGAGACAGCACCACGCTCACGCCGCTCAGTCGGCCTGTAGCAGTCTCCCTGGCTGACCCCTCTGGGGGCCCAGTCCTTGCACACTCCTCTACGGTTCTACCGTGTCCTGCGGCCCCGTCGGGCTTGCTGTCGGGACTCCACCTCCCCTCGTTCTCTACGAACTTGGTGAGTGGAGCTGACCTCCAGGACGCGTGGGTTGACCAGTTCACCCCTGGAGGTCAGCGTGTGACCCACTGCACTTGCTCTCGGACGGGCCGCCACCTGGCCACGTTCACCCGTCGGCCAGGGTCGAGTCTGTACACACTGACTACTGCGCCTCCTCCGGTCCCTGCGTCTGGTCAGATAGCTGCGTCCAGTCAGGTGTTTGCTGCCGCGTCCAGGTCTAGTCCTACGTCTGCCCCCTGCTCGTGTCGTCCTCTGGCGCACGAGACTCTCCTTTGGCACCACCGCCTTGGTCACCCCTCCCTACCTCGTCTTCGAGGTATGGCCTCCCGTGCCCTTATCTCTGGTCTCCCCAGGTCCCTCCCGCCCCTTCCTCCGGGGCCTGCCCCCACCTGTGTTCCTTGTGTCGAGGGCCGGCAGCACGCCGCTCCTCACTCCTCCTCGTTCCCTCCGACTGAGGCTCCTCTGCAGACTCTTCACATGGACGTGTGGGGCCCAGCCCGCGTCCGTGGACAGGGTCACGAGCGTTACTTCCTGCTGGTCGTTGACGACTACTCGCGTTACACCACAGTCTTCCCCTTGCGCAGCAAGGGTGAGGTCCCTGAGGTGTTGATCGACTGGATCCGCGGTGCTCGTCGCCAGCTCAGTGAGAGTTTCGGCTTGGACCTTCCTGTTCTGCGACTGCACTCAGACAGAGGTGGGGAGTTTTCCTCTGACCTCCTGAGAGCCTTCTGTCGTTCGGAGGGCATCCGCCAGACGTTCACGCTTCCGGCCTCCCCGCAGCAAAATGGGATTGCTGAGCGCCGCATTGGCATGGTCATGGACGTCGCTCGTACGTCCATGATCCATGCGGCTGCTCCCCATTTTTCTGTGGCCGTTCGCGGTTCAGTACGCGGCGCATCAGATCAACCTTCAGCCTCGGGTCTCCATTCCGGAGACCTCCCCTACTCTGCGGTGGACGGGGAAGGTTGGCGATGCGTCTGCGTTCCGTGTCTGGGGATCTTGAGCTTTCGTCCGTGACTTGTCTGCGGACAAGCTGTCCTCCCGTGCTGTTCCTTGCATCTTCCTCGGCTTCCCCCCTGACGCGCCTGGTTGGCAGTTTTACCACCCCACCTCGAGTCGTGTTCTGTCCTCCCAGGACGTCACGTTTGACGAGTCGGTTCCGTACTACCGTCTCTTCCCCTACCGTGCTGCCCCCCTCCCCCCCCCGCCGCTCTTCCTCACGCCCGTTCCCCCCCCGGTAGACCCCCTCCCCCCTTAGGGTCCTGCCCCCTCAGGTGTGTCCCAGGTAGATGCAGTCGAGCCTGTCGAGGTAGCTGTTGACTCTGTTACTTCTGGGGGTGCTGAGCCTGAGCATGCGGAGCCTTTGGATGCTGGGTCTGGGGGTGCTGAGCCTGGGGTTGCTGAGAGTGGGGGTGCAGAGCCTGCCGGTGCTGGACCTAGAGGTCCTTCGGGAGCTTTGCCCCGGCGGGAGCTACCCTCCCCACAGGAGCTGCGCGAGTGGTTTGCTCGGCACTGGAGCCGTGCTACTGGAGCTGGTGGTGCTGCCGGTGCTGGAGGTTCTACTGCTGCCGGGGGTGCTGGAGCCACGGGTCCCGGAGGTGCTCGTACTGGAGGTACTGGAGCTGCTGGGAGTGGTGGTGCTACTGGTGCTGGAGCTACTGGTGGAGCTGGAGCTGGCCGTGCTGCTGGAGTCGGTGCTGCTGGAGGTACTGGAGCCGGAGCTGCTGAGTCTTCCGGGGGTCCTGCTGGAGCTGGAGCTGCTGGAGGTACTGGAGCTGGAGGTGCTGCTGGAGCCGGTGCTCCTGTGGGTGCTGGAGTTGGCGCTACTGGAGCTGCTGGGGGTGCTCCTGGTGCTGGTGGTGCTGCTGGAGTTGGAGCTGACGCTGGGGGTGCTGGTGCTGTCCCTGCTGGTTCTGGAGGCGCTGCGCGGCCGCGGCCGTACTTTGTTCCGCTCCTTGAGCAGGTTCTTGGTCTTCCGCCTTCTCCTGGTCCTGCTCCTTCCTTAGAGTGTCCACCACCTGTCCAGTCCGAGTCACAGTTCCAGCTGACCTCCCCTATTCCTGCTCCTTCTCCCTACGCTGGTCCTACTGGAGGTCTTGCTGAGCATCGTGAGCCTGAGTCGCGTCCTGCGTCGCCTGTTCGTACTGCTCGCACTAGTCGTCGTGTTCCACGTCAGCGTCCTCCTGCGGTCCCGGGCACGCATCAGATGGCAGTGCGTCCTTCCACTGCGTCACAGCGTGTCCCTTTGCCGTCTCCTCCAGCATCCTCTCTTCCTGCTCTTGCTGACCCGGAGTCTGACTCCCTTCGTGCTGCCAGTCCTACTGTCACGCGTTTCCTAGCCACTGTTGTCACTGACCCTTCCTTTGAGTCCACTTCTGCGTCTGCCTTAGTTGCCGAGCTTGTCGACTTCGCTGCTCACTGTCGTCTAGACTACGCCGCTAGTCTTGTTGCTGAGTCTGCGTCTGTCTGTCCTCCGTCCGTCGTGGGTGAGTGTGCTCTTAGCACGGACGTCCTTGAGGACTGACAGGAGGAGTTCCAGTGTTTTGCTGCTGCTTTACCTCATCTCGTGTCTACGTTGCTTGCCCCTGAGGGAGACCCGGATGCACCAGTCATCCCGACCCCGCGCTCTTACGCAGAGGCGATAGAGGGTCCTTACTCCTCTCAGTGGCAGGCAGCCATGGATGTAGATATGGCTTCCTGGAAGTCCACAGGCACCTACCTCGACGAGGTTCCCCCACCTGGGGCGAACATCGTCAGTGGCATGTGGATTTTCAGGGTGAAGCGGCCGCTGGGTTCTCCGTCTGTCTTCAAGGCGCGTTACGTGGCTCGAGGCTTCAGTCAGCGGCAGGGAGTTGACTACTTTCAGACCTTCTCCCCGACCCCGAAGATGACCACTCTTCGGGTTCTGCTGCACGTCGCTGCTCAGCGTGACTACGAGCTTCACTCCCTTGACTTCAGCACTGCTTTCCTACAGGGCAGCCTGCACAAGGAGATCTGGCTGCGCCGCCCACCTGGCTTCACTGGGTCGTTTCCTCCTGGTACCCATTGGAGCCTCCGGCGGCCAGTCTACGGTCTCCGCCAGGCGCCCCGTGAGTGGCACGACACACTGAGGACTACGCTTGCGGCTCTTGGGTTTGCTCCTTCCACTGCTGACCCGTCGCTGTTTCTTCGCACTGACACTTTGCTGCCGCCGTTCTACATCCTCGTGTACGTCGACGACTTGGTCTTTGCTACGGCTGACACTGCTGGACTCGCCCACGTGAAGTCTGAGCTGCAGAAGAGACACACGTGCACAGACCTGGGTGAACTGCGTAGCTATCTTGGCTTGCAGATCACTCGGGACAGAGCACGGCGCACCATTACCTTGACTCAGTCACACATGGTGCAGCAGGTCCTTCAGCGCTTCGACTTCACTTACTCCTCGCCTCAGGCCACTCCTCTGTCTACTCGCCACTCGCTCTCAGCTCTGCCTTCGGATGAGTCCGTAGAGCCGAGTGGCCCGTACCCAGAGCTTGTTGGCTGCCTCATGTACCTGATGACCTGCACTCGACCTGACCTGGCATACCCTCTTAGCATCTTGGCACGCTATGTTGCTCCTGGGAGACACCGACCAGAGCACATGGCTGCAGCGAAGAGGGTGTTGCGCTACTTGTGCAGTACGTCGGGCATGGGGCTAGTGCTTGGAGGGCGGAGTCCAGTGGTCCTCACTGGTCACGCAGACGCGTCTTGGGTTGACGACCTGGCTACGCAGCGGTCGTCACAGGGTTACACCTTCAGCCTTGGTTCCCGCTCTGTTTCGTGGCGGTCTACTCGCTCGTCTTCTGTTCTCAGCTCCAGCTGTGAGGCTGAGATCTACGCAGGGGCCATGGCTGCACAGGAGTTACGCTGGCTCACCTACCTGCTGACTGACCTCGGTGAGCCGCCTCGTTCTCCTCCGATTCTATACGTAGACAACAAGGCCATGCTAGCCTTGTGTCGGGAGCACAGACTGGAGCACAGAACGAAGCACATTGCTCTTCGCTACTTCCTTGCTCGTGAGCTGCAGCAGCGTGGTCAGCTGCGTCTTGCTTACGTGGCCTCCCAGGCCAACACTGCTGATATCTTCACCAAGGCACTTCAGCCTTGTGATCATCAGCGCTTCTGTACTATGCTAGGTCTTGTGCCTACTTTGCCTCACTTGCTTACCTCTTGACTTTACCTGTACTGTGATCTATATATACCTGCACTTGCTTGTTTACCTTTTATATATAATCCTGCATGTGAACTGGCCTTGTGGCCTTTGAACCTGTGCTCGGAATGTGTGGTGACGTTGTGATCCACCCTGAGCTTGCTTTGTTTTGCTTTGCTTGACTGGTCTTGTGACCCCTTGTTCTCCCCCACTTTGCCTATGGGGGTGTGTCGAACATTAATCACATAGCCTGTTTAGGCTGTAGTGGGGTAGACACTATGGGGTACAGCTCTTAGGGTTTCATATTTGTACCCAACTCATTTTTCTATTCCATCATTCATTCCTATTGTTTCACACCCCTCACCCTCCCCCTCCCCGTATGGGTGCATGAGCAGTAGTGAGAGGGAGGAAAAGGCAAACAGCGGCGGAAGGAGCTGTGTCACCCACGCGCAGGGTCGACGGGGTGATGGGTCAGCGCGACGGGTGTAGCGCGACTGGTGCAGCAAAAACAGTGCCAGCATTTGCAACTACTAGCAGTAGCAACCGTGACAGCAGAAAAGTAGACCGCCATGGACGATGGCGGGTTTGGTGGGCCCATGAAAACTAGGTCCTAGGAGGGACCGGCTCTGATAGCATGTTAAAATAGTAGTTAGAAGCCTATGGTTTGAACTAGGCGAGAGTGACCAGAGGAAAGAGCAAGCCAAAAGAGGGCTTCACTGAGGAGAATCGAGGCAGGCCCTTGGATTCGTTTTGAGGCACGCTGATCGATCAGCGTGCACCCCTGTTTTTTAGAACTGTGTGACTTAGCGTGGCCCCAAAATTTTAGGCTGAAAAAACAGACAACTCGAAGTTTTTTAGGCTGAATTTTCAGAGTTAGCTGTAAAACTTTCATAAAAAATACAATAAAACATGTCACATATCTGAGTCAGAGCCAGAACCTCTACATGAGCACGCTAAACCTCTACATCCTCCTTTCGAGCCCTTGAAGGCTCCCTGTCTCTTGGAGCAGAGCTGTCGTGTTTGCACGGAAGGTGGGGTGGGGTGGATGTTTGTGGTGACGTACGAGGCGTAGCGCGCTGGCGCTGAGAGCCATGCGTTGGCAACAATTCTTGCCAACGCTGCCTGCTGCGCAACCCTGATTGGCCGCTTTGCTGTACCAATGCGACAGTGCGGGGCATCGCGGGGGAAAACTTGATTTCCCACCTGTGATTGACAGTGTTACCGGTAATCCTACAGGCTGGCGGAAATCCCTGTATTGCCGGATTAAGTGTGCATCCCCGATACAAGGCTGAGGGCTCAGCCTACACTCATAAAATTAGGCTGAAATTTCAGCCAAGTCATAAAAAAAACTCTGAAAAATCAGACAAGGTACATAAAAAAACAAACAGTTAGGTACAAGTACTAACCCTAATTGGGTTGTACCCCTTATAGGCTACCCCACTATAGCCTACACAAATGTAAGCACTATAACATTCTGACGAGGCAACATGCAATGAGGTACACCACCAAACAGGAAGTAGGACAACTATACTAAAGCTAGAACTACATGCATTTATACATAAAATATATATGAAATATATTCTGACACACCGTGTCAGAATAGTGAAGAAAGGAATGAAACAGAAAAAAGGGGGAGGTTTCACTAGCAGGCAGTTGAGTACATATAGCAAACCCTAAATTGGGCTGTACTCACTATTGAGTACCCCACTGCAGGCTAGACAAATATAACATTCTGACACTGTCAAACTTATATCTGCTATGGTCTATTTAGGCTGTAGTGGGGTAGCTCTTAGAGGGTACAACACTTATGTGTTTTCTATTTGTACCCATCTCATTTCCTAGTTCATTCATTCTTTCGTCTATCTTTCTCACATGGTATAGAGCTATTTTCAAGAATTTTTATAAAGGGCCCACCACTAAAATTCTTTACTGCCTACTTGACGCGCGCGTCGCGCTTTCCCTTCGAGGCCCGTCGCGGCCCCTGCGCCTGCCCTCAGAGCCAGCGCCCGCCACGTAAGGCCCCGTTATGCCCCGTAAGGCCCCTTAAGGCCCCGTTTACGGCCCCGTTTAAGGCCCTGTAAGGCCCCGTAAGGCCCCGTTAGAGGCCCCGTAAGGCCCCGTCAGGCCCCGTTTGGCCCCGTTTAAGGCCCCGTAAGGCCCCTTTCGGCCCCGTTAGAGGCCTCGTAAGGCCCCGTCAGGCCCCGTTAGAGGCCCCGTACGGCCCCGTATGGCCCCGTTAGAGGCCCCGTAAGGCCCCGTCAGGCCCCGTTTGGCCCCGTTTAAGGCCCCGTAAGGCCCCTTTCGGCCCCGTTAGAGGCCTCGTAAGGCCCCGTCAGGCCCCGTTAGAGGCCCCGTATGGCCCCGTCAGGCCCCGTTAGAGGCCCCGTAAGGCCCCGTCAGGCCCCGTTTGGCCCCGTTTAAGGCCCCGTAAGGCCCCTTCCGGCCCCGTTAGAGGCCCCGTAAGGCCCCGTCAGGCCCCGTTAGAGGCCCTGTACGGCCCCGTCAGGCCCCATTAGAGGCCCCGTGAGGCCCCGTCAAGCCCCGTTTGGCCCCGTTTAACGCCCTGTAAGGCCCCGTCAGGCCCCGTTAGAGGCCCCGTAGGCCCCGTCAGGCCCCGTTAGAGGCCCTGTCGGCCCCGTCAGGCCCCGTTAGAGGCTCCGTACGGCCCCGTCAGGCCCCGTTAAAGGCCCCCTTCAGGCCCAGCCGGCCCTACTGCGGCTCTGTCGCAGCTCTGCCCCGGCCCTCGCCCCGACCCTGTCTCCGCCCTGCCCCAGCCCTGCTCCTGCACTGCCGCGGCCCGGCCCCGACCCCGCCCCGGCCCTGTCGCGACCTCGCCCCGGCCCTGTCCCGGCCCTGCTCCGACCCTGCCCTGGCCCTGCCCAGGCCCTGCCCCGGCCCTGCCCCGGCCCTGCATCCTGCCCCGGCCCTGCCCCGGCCCTGCCCCGGCCCTGCCCCGGCCCTACATCCTGCCTCTGCCCTGCCCCGGCTCTGCCTCGGCTCTGCACCCTGCCCCGGCCCTGCATCCTGCCTCGGCCCTGCCCCGGCCCTACCCCCTGCCCAGGCCCTGCCCTGGCTCTGCCTCGGCCCTGCATCCTGCCTCGGCCCTGCCCCGGCCCTGCCCCCTGCCCCGGCCCTGCCCCGGCTCTGCCCCGGCCCTGCCCCGGCCCTGCCCCCCTGCCCCGGCCCTACCCCTGCCTTGTCACTGGTAAGAGCGCCGCGCTGCCGAGCCGCGCCGCCCTGCCTAGCCTACCCTGCCGAGTTGCACTGCTGCTGCTGCTAGCCTACTGCTGCTCCTGTCATGGCTAGTCTCAATGTTCTTACCTTTGATGCTGAGGGTCGAGCTGTTGACTTTGAGGTCTGGCTAGATGATCTGCAGCTTTTCCTTCAGTGCGATAGCAAGGATGGCCTATCACTGTTTGATCTCACGTCTGGCGCCTCTACTGCCCCTGCTGCTGATGCTGACAGTACTGTTCGCTCGCAGTGGCTCACGCGCGATGCTGCTGCTCGTCTTGCTGTGCGTAATCACCTGCCGTCTACTGAGCGCGCGCACTTTAGTCAGTACAAGAGTGCTAGGGCTCTGTACGACGCTGTAGTTGCACGCTACTCCTCCCCTACCACTGCTGCCCTCAGCCGCCTCATGCTGCCGTACCTTTTTCCTGACCTTGCCGCCTTTGCCACAGTTGCTGACCTAGTTGCTCACCTCCGCACTAGTGACGCTCGCTACCGCGCTGCCCTTCCCACTGAGTTTCTTCCCACGAACTCCCCACCCATGTACATCACCCTTTACTACCTAGTCACCCGCCTCCCTGACTCTCTCTCCTCAGTCAGGGATCACTTACTCTGGTCCGACTAGAGGTCTTACGGAGCGTCGTGAGCCTGAGTCTCGTCCTGTGTCGCCTGAGTCTCGTTCTGCGTCGCCTGTCCGTCCTGTTCGCGCTGGTCGTGTTCCTCCTGTCCCAGGCACTCACTCTATGACACTGCGTCCTTCTACTGCTCCACAGCGTGTCCCTCTGCCCTCTCCTCTTGCGTCCTCTCTTCCTGACGGTCCGGACCCGGAGTCTGACTCCCTTCGTGCTGCTAGTCCTACTGTCACGCGCTTTCTGGCCACTGCTGTCACTGACCCTCTGTTTGAGTCCACTGCTGCGTCTGCTCTTGTTACTGAGCTCGTTGACTTTGCTGCAGCCTGTCGCCTAGACTACGCCGCCAGTCTTGTTGCTGAGTCTGCGTCTGTCTGTCCTCCGTCCATCGGGGGTGAGTGTGCTCTTGGCACGGACGTCCTTGAGGACAGACAGGAGGACCTTGAGTGCTTTGCCGCTGCTTCACCTCATCTCGTGTCCATGCTGCTTACCCCTGAGGGAGACCCGGATGCACTAGACATCCCGACCCCGCGCTCTTACGCAGAGGCGATAGAGGGTCCCTACTCCTCTCAGTGGCAGGCAGCCATGGACGCAGAGATGGCTTCCTGGAAGTCCACAGGCACCTACGTAGACGAGGTTCCCCCACCTGGGGCGAACATCGTCAGTGGCATGTGGAACTTCAGGGTGAAGCGGCCGCCGGGTTCTCCGCCTGCCTTCAAGGCGCGTTACGTTGCACGTGGCTTCAGTGAGCGACAGGGAGTTGACTTCTTTCAGACCTTCTCCCCTACCCCGAAGATGACCACTCTTCGGGTACTGCTGCACGTAGCTGCTCAGCGTGACTACGAGCTCCACTCGCTTGACTTCAGCACAGCCTTCCTGCAGGGCAGCCTGCACGAGGAGATCTGGCTGCGCCGCCCACCTGGCTTCACTGGGTCGTTTCCTTCTGGTACCCAGTGGAGCCTCCGGCGGCCAGTCTACGGTCTCCGCCAGGCGCCCCGTGAGTGGCACGACACGCTCAGGACGACTCTTGCTGCTCTTGGTTTTGCTCCTTCCACTGCTGACCCTTCTCTGTTTCTACGCACTGACGCTACTCTGCCGCCGTTCTACGTTCTTGTATACGTAGACGACCTTGTCTTTGCTACTGCTGACACGGAGGCACTCGCCCAC